AAAAAAAAAAATCCACAGGAAGTGGTGAGGTCATGCAGAGTGTGGAAGCTGAACAGTAGCGCTCACTGCATGACAGATGAGCGCCAGTGCAGTCACTTGCTCTTAAAATACTCATACAGATAAGAGTAATACATCTTTCGAATCTGTAAGAACTGTTTATTTGTGTGTACTCACAATAACAACAAACATGGAGCTTGTAAAATAATGAAAGCAAACAGGATGCGCTTTCTGCCGTCTCAGTCTCTGTTAGTGCTGGGCGGTATACCGGTTCATACCGAATACCGGTGTTTATTTTTGTTATGATATACATTTTTTAAATACCGCAATACCGGTGCATGTCGTTAAAACAACGTTCGGAACGCGACACTGTTTGAAAGTGGTCCCTTTTCACTGTCGCATTGTGTTGAGGGAACAGCTGTATGCGTTCCGAAACTGAAGCTGTAGAACTAATAGAACGTGATGATGACAGAAGAACTCATCCACAATATCCACATTGACCGCCACAAATATCCCCCGCCCCCTGCCATCAGCTCCCGCGTCTCACACACACACGAGCACGACTTTAGCATTAGATTTAGCAACTTTCAGACCCTTTTAGCGGTAAGTCAATATACTGCAGTATTTCCTCTCTCAATCAGTAGAAAATATGGTTAACACCCGGTCATGCATGGAAAAAAAAATACCGTCATGTACCGTGAAACCGGTATAATTTTGAAAAATACCATGATATAAATTTTTGGTCATACCGCCCAGCACTAGTCTCTGTGAACTTGAACGCGAAACTCTCTGTATATCTTTGCCTTACAGACATGAAAAATAAATTTATAGAGAGTGAAATGTCTACTTTCAAATGAACCAATTCAAATGGAAAACAAATATTCTCAGTGTATGTAGTCCGTATGAAACATGCATACAGGCGCATCACCACTGCGGAGATGATGAGTCAGTGTCACCGACTGCATCTCTTAAACCGAAAACTAAAAAAGCACTAGTTTATCAATAAATTATTTGATGATTTAAATGGGTTATTAATAAGCATGCAATTAATAGTCGACTAATGCTTAAAATGAATGACTACTAGTCGACCATAAAAGTGTTTAGTTAAGGGCAACCCTACAATTTATTTGCCACATACTAGTGGCATTCCAGTGAAGGACTGCAGTAATTTGATCATATCTACACTACCATTCAAAAGTTTGGGGCCAGTAAGATTTAATTTAATTTCTTTTATTCAGCAAAGATGTATTACAATGATTGAAAGTGACAGTAGAGATATTTATGATGCTCTCAAAAGTTTCTATTTTAAAGAAGAGTTTAGCATTTATTTCTAACTTTATGTTCATCAAAGAATCTTGCGAAAAAGTATAATGATTTCCACCAAAAATATTAAGCAGGACAACTGGTTTTAACACTGATACTAATAAGAAATGTTTCTTAAACACCAAATATATTACAATGATTCCTGAAGGATCATGGAACACTGAAGACAGGACTAATGATGCTGAAAATTTAGCTTTGCCATCATAGGAATAAATTATATTTTATAATATGACTGTTTTTACTGTTTTTCATCAAATATGTGCATAAGTTACTTGTTTCAAAATCAGGAAACGACAAAAATCTTACCAACCCCAAACTTTTGAACAGTAATTGTATGTAACACCAAGAATTGCTTGGTTCTTTCACACAAATGTATGCATAATGGCTCTGATGTATATCAATTTAATCTGTTACATTTGAAGAGCACTCTTGACCCACTTTGTCCTTCATAAATCACGAGTGCTTATTGCATCGTTAAGTTACTGAGCATAATCCTCGAAGACTCTAGAAAGCAATAATAAACAATTATAAAAAAAATTTGCACTAGTCCCATGTTAACATTTATAATGTTTAAATACTGTTTTATACTCTGTTTTTATGTTACTTCCTCTGCGGCGTCATACGCGGCGCCATTAGTCCATACTGTCACTTTCCATACGCGGCACCACCAGTATGGACTGGTCTGAGGAACATCACCTTGTACAAGACACCACCCCCACTGTCTGTGGAGAATCAACAACTGGCTGATGATCTGAATGTGTTTTACTGTCGATTTGAAAAGGCCAGACTGACACCCAGCACCCGCTCTGATCTGCACTTCACACATTCACCTACTGCAACCCCCTCCCTCCCTCCCCCACCATTCAACCTGCGCTTAAGGTCTGTGTAGAGGATGTGAATGGGTCTTCAGGAAGCGGAAATCTAAGAAAGCTTCAGGCCCAGATGGTGTTTCACTTGCCTGTCTTAAAGTCTGTGCTGACCAACTGGCCCCAGTCTTCACACAGATCTTCAACAAATCACTGGCGCTGAATGAAGTTCCCTGCTGCTTCAAACGCTCCACCATCATTCCGGTCCCCAAAAAACCCCAAATCACTGACTTAATGACTACAGACCTGTCGCTCTCATGTCTGTGGTCATGAAGACATTTGAGCGACTGATACTGGACTACCTGGAGGTTGGGCAAACTCACATCCAGGAGGACTATCACAATCAGCACTGGAGCTCCTCAGGGATGTGTTCTCTCCCCACTGCTCTTCTCCCTGTATACAAATGACTGCACTTCAAAGGACCCCTCTGTCAAGCTCCTGAAGTTTGCGGATGACACTAGTCATCGGCCTCATCAAGGATGGAGACGAGTCTGCTTACAGACAGGAGGTTGAGTGACTCTGGTGCAGTCACAACAACCTGGAGCTAAACACTCTCAAAACTGTGGAGATGATTATGGACTTCAGGAGGAACCCCCCCTGCACTCTCCCCACTCACCATCATGAACAGCACTGTGACTGCAGTGGAGTCATTCAGGTTCCTGGGCAACACCATCTCTCAGACCATTTTTCCTTTTTCTGTATATTTCTATTACTATTGTTATTTATAATTTATTGTCTATTCTCTCATTTTATGTATGTCTGCACTTTGTTTGTATTTTCTGTACCAGAAGCTCCTAACACCAAGACAAATTCCTTGTGTGTGTGAACACAATTGGCAATAAAGCTCTTTCTGGTTCTGATACTGATTCTGCAGTGTGTTTGTTTTTGTTGTTGAGGGACAAGTCGAAAATATTTCTGTGGCACAAGGTAGCATGCCACAAGATGATGTCAGTAGAGCTCTTATTTACACTACATACACCAACATATGGTCTCCATTAGACTCCTCGGAGCTGACTGGCAGAGTCTGAGATAGCTTTCCTTTGTCAGTGACTCTTGTTTAGATTCAACCTTGTCAGTCTTGTGATGGTTATAGTTTGACTTTTCTGAATGTTTCTCTTCAGGGAATGCATCGAGTGCCGTCTCTTTAACACGGGGAGACTGGCCGATAACCAGACCTGCCAGCGCATGTGCAAGGATGAGATCATCACCGTGGAAACACTCCGTGAGTGCACACTTGATACACTGAATGATTATTTGGGGCGGCTTCTCTATCACTTCATCTCCACCCTGCACAAACACACTTCTTCCTCTGATACAAATACATGTGTGGTTTGTTTAAGCCAAAGAACAATATTTTTAAGTTAGTTTGTATGTATGTTTATGCTCTGCTATCAATTAACTATTCAGTAAATATAGTACTTAAATTGACTCATTTGAGAAAACTCAAAAAAGTAAAACTTAACACAATTATGGTTGCTTAACATACATCTTCCTTAAGTCAAAGAGAAAAGTTGAACCCAGCAGTGATCAGAAGCTCAGTTCAGAGATCAGTCCGTCTCATCAGGACACACTGTTGGTCGAGCGCCACAGTTTGTGCTTCCAGGTCGTGATTGTGTTACCCGCAGCAGGGTGAAGCACAGTTTGTGGCGTATCATGGCCAGCTCTGTTTATGTTATTATCTAGAGAATGTGAGTCTGGACGTCTCGGCAACACTCGCTGTTCTGTGTCCCACTGTGAAAGCATGTGTTTACTGCTCTTCCTCTAAAACCCTGCTATTAATACAAACCACTAACATGTAAAATGCTCAGATTCATTTAGAATAGCAATTTAGAAAACGTTCTTTTGTTGTGTATATAGATCTTTTTATTATATTTTTGTATATTTTTTATTTATATTTATTATATAGTCCGTAAGCTATGAATAAAGTTTATGAGACCTTCTCCAGGGTATTTATAACAGGTTTTATTGCTGGAGGAATGTTTTTTACATGTGTCTAGGAATGCATGAATGAATGTTTATTGTTGAGCAATATGAAGCTGGTCTTATTCGCTGAAATACTGTAGTGAAACATTCAGGTTGCTTGTGAACTCTTTAAGGCCTTTCCATGTCACTCCTAATTGTAAAAGAAGGCATCATGGATTTGATGTTTCACAACATTTCCCTGCCGTTTCAGTCAGCTGACTTCCTTAATGGACTGCACATGTGCATACCTGGAAACATCTAGCTCATTCGGAGAAAGAGACTCCGTAGTTAAATGACTGTTAGGAAGGGAGAGACTTCCTAGTCTGTTGGGGATTTTAATTATGATAACATTTAAACATTCTTGATCAATCTGGGTCCTTGTTGAGGAATGCAAGGTCTGGTCCAACAATAATTTCAGTGTTTATGCTGTTGGCTCGACGTGCCTTTCTCATTTTATTGCCTCAGACACAGTTTGCACAGCTGTTTCATTAAACTAAACTCCTCTTTTCCTCAACTTCTCTCTATCTGTTTCAGAAACGGATGATTCCAACACTGTTCAATGCGTGTATAAGACCGAGAATGACTGTGTGATGAAGTTCACCTACTCTGAACATGCCAATGGCCAGTCAGTCCTCACCGCTCTTAAAGAGCCAGGTCAGTGTTTAGCACTTCACAACTACCCCACTAAGAACGCCATTTCAGAATCATGATAAGCACAGTCATTTCTGAAAAGTATAAGTGAAGAAATGATCGATGTAAAAGAAGTTATATTTCTGTTATTTCTGATACATGCATTGTTTCTAATGGGAAAGTACGTCATATCTTACATTATGTCCATGCATTTATGTATTTTGTGTGTTTACAGAGTGTGCTGTTGCCCCAAATGCCATGACTGTGCTCTTGGCAGTTGTTGGCAGCATCTTGTTGATGGGCATCGTGCTGCTGGCGCTCTGGAAACTGGTCATCACCATTCACGACCGCCGCGAGTTTGCACGCTTCCAGAGTGCACGTTCACGGGCGCGATACGAGATGGTGAGATTTAATCCATCTACTGCACTATGTTTGATTCAAATGATAGAAATCAGATACTTGTGAATGCTTGTTTACATGTCACAATACTTTTGACAAAATGTTCGCTTAATGAGTTCCATTAATCAAGGATCCAGAATTGCTAGTATTATTTTATTATATTTTTTATTTGCATACTATCGTTCAAAAGTTTGGCGTCAGTAAAATGTATTTTTTGGGTTTTTTTTACTTCTTTGAAAGAAGAATCTTATGTTTACCAAAGCTGCATTTCTTTTATCAAAAATACAATGAAACAGTATTATTGTGAAATTATATTACAATATTAACTGTTTTCTATTTGACAGTATTTTATAATGCAATTTATTCCTGTGATGCAAAGCTGTATTTTCAGCAGCCATTACTCCAGTCTTCAGTGTCACATAATCCTTCAGAAATCATTCTAATATGATGATTTGGTGCTCAAGAAACATTTCTTCTTATTATCAGTGTTGAAAACAGTTGTGCTGCTTGCTATTTTTGGGGGGAAATCATACTTTTTTCAATATTCTTTGAATATAAATTCAAGTAAATTCAAAGTAAATACTTAAAAAGAAGTAAATGTTTAAAGAAGGATACATAAATATCTTTACTGATCAATTCAATGCGTCATTGCTGAATAAAATACATTTTTCAAAAAAAAAGAAAGGAAAACATTTCTTATGAATATTGAAAACAGTTGTGCTGATCATTTTTATTTTTTGGAAACATTTTCACAGATATTTTGAATAAACATTCAAGAGAACAGCATTAATTGGAATACATTTATAAAAAAAAAAATTAAATTCTACATTTTATTTAGAAATCTTATGTAAGACAAAAAAAAAGGTTTGATTTCTTTCTTTTGAATGGTAGTGTAGATGCAGTCTAATGCATTCATATACCACTGTTTGCAAGTTATTTAAAATGCAAATAGCTTGAACTGGCAACTCTATGCAATCACCCAGTCTTCAGTGTCACATAATCCTTCAGAAATCATTCTAATATGATGATTTGGTGCTCAAGAAACATTTCTTCTTATTATCAGTGTTGAAAACAGTTGTGCTGCTTGCTATTTTTGGGGGGAAATCATACTTTTTTCAATATTCTTTGAATATAAATTCAAGTAAATTCAAAGTAAATACTTAAAAAGAAGTAAATGTTTAAAGAAGGATACATAAATATCTTTACTGATCAATTCAATGCGTCATTGCTGAATAAAATACATTTTTCAAAAAAAAAGAAAGGAAAACATTTCTTATGAATATTGAAAACAGTTGTGCTGATCATTTTTATTTTTTGGAAACATTTTCACAGATATTTTGAATAAACATTCAAGAGAACAGCATTAATTGGAATACATTTATAAAAAAAAAAATTAAATTCTACATTTTATTTAGAAATCTTATGTAAGACAAAAAAAAAGGTTTGATTTCTTTCTTTTGAATGGTAGTGTAGATGCAGTCTAATGCATTCATATACCACTGTTTGCAAGTTATTTAAAATGCAAATAGCTTGAACTGGCAACTCTATGCAATCACAAGGACAAAAACAACTAGACTTGGATTGAAACCATGAGGCCTTTTGGAAAACATCAGTCAGCTGGGATTGCAGATCAGTCATGATGAAAATTCCAAGGCTGTGTTTCAAAGACTCTGTTCGCTCTGCCCTTCTAACCATGTGCATTTCAATGAACCCATCTGACCTATTTATTCCTCGGTCTCTCTCTCCTTGTCTTCCTTCTTAGGCGTCTAACCCTGTTTATAAGCAGTCCATCCCCTCTCACCCAATGGAGACGGTTTTCCATATGCATAGTATCAAGTCATGCAACGGAGGAGTCCACTAATCGACCTGCATTTGGACTGGGGGACATGGCAGGACCTGTCCAGCGCACCTCTGCACTACAGTGGAGGACCGAGACAAATGTTACGGTCTTTTGCAATGCAAACTTTTTTTTGAGGCGTGTGGTTCCTGAGGATTGGAACTGATCTTTATGCGGTTTCAGCTTGATGAGCAGCAGTTGGACGCATGCCGAATTTGAGAAGAGGATTGGCTTGACTAGTTGGAGAGGCAGGGCTTATCGGCATTAGACATTAACCTGCAATGGACCGCTTGCTTGAATATAATTCCTAACCATACCTCCTGCACATTATGATGGATTTGCTGTGCATTGTTTTATAGGCAAAGAGACATGAAGTGTATATTATTAACAGTGTGACTTTCCCAGCCTTTACACATTTTACATCAGTTTATTTACCACATGTACAATAGTCAGATTCCATAAAGTGTGCATAGAACACAAAAAATGCAAAATTATACATCAACTCTTTAACGAAGTGATGGGTACTAACCTAACCAGAGCAATACATTTCTTAACTTGTGTTGCACATTGTATGTTAGGTTGAGACTTATAAAGTAAAGAAAGAAATGCCACTCTACAATGCTAGTCTTTTGTGTATTGCCACAGGTAACACATTTTTATAATGATTTTCAACTGTGCAGTGTGATGCAATAACACTGCCTGCTGATAATTCAAGAGTGTCTCGTTTGTTTTTGGAACAATTACATTTAGAAGTTCCACACCCATCCCATCAGGACCTGGACTAAATAAAAAATTAGACACTAGACACCAACTGCCAGTAAGAACTGAGACTGACCCCGTACCGATACTTAGTCATGTTTGTGTCTACTTGCTTTTTTTTTTCATTTTGGTGCATTTTTTACATGCCTGACCCTGGACCACAAAACCAGTCATAAGGATAAATTTTTCGAAATTGAGATTTATACGTCATCTGAAAGCTGAATAAATAAGCTTTCTATTGTTGTATGGTTTGTTAGGATAGGGCAATATTTGGCCGAGATATAACTATTTGAAAATCTAGAATCTGAGGGTGAAAAAAATCAAAATATTGAGAAAATCGTCCTTTAAAGTTGTCCAAATGAAGTTCTTAGCAATGCATATTACTAATCAAAAATTAAGTTTTGATATTTACGGTAGGAAATTTACAAAATATTTTCATGGAACATGATCTTTACTTAATATCCTAATGATTTTTGGCATAAAAGAAAAATCGATAATTTTGACCTATACAATATTTTTTTGGCTATTGCTAAAAATATACCCCAGCGACTTAAGACTGGTTTTGTGGTCCAGGGTCACAAATAAGGTGTATGTTTTCGAAACTCTTACTGCAAAAATCCAAACTGATTACACTGCTAGTCGATGCTTTCACTGGTTATAATTTCAGTCCACATAATCATTGTTTCAAAACACAAGATCTTTGTAATAAATAATGAGAACATTTGGTTTAATCGCTGAAACACAACAGTATGACTTTCAATTTAGTACTTTTAACAATCCGTTCATTCAACACAAAACAATGCAAGATACATGTTTCAAATCAGCCATGCTGCTGAGGTTACAGCAATACAGGCTAGACTTTCCTCATTAGACAATACACTTACATTACCTAACTTGCTTAATTAATGTAAAATCCATTAAGTTTGTAATATTATCTGTCCAGTCTGGCAACAAAAGGTGTGATGGAGATATGACATTGCCATGAGGTTTTGTGTAGTACAGTGTGCTGCCAGTACAGTAAATGTTGACTGAGTCTGTACTGTAGTTTCGCTGCTTTCTTGGGTGACTTACATTACTTTGACAGTGTCTACCATGGTAAGTCCTCTGTTTATAGTCCCACAATGCATACATGTCTCCCTTATTCAGATGTGTCTGACCAATCTGACAGACAGGCACACATTTAATTGTATCTTGCTCTATGTATATTTATCACAAATTGCAAATCTCTTTCTCTTTCACACACACACACACACACTTTGAACATTGTGGTTATCTGATTTAAATTGCTTACTGTAACAATAATTTATTTTACTTATCTATTTCGGAAATTGCCAACCATGCAGTTCTACAGAATCTGTATCTCTAGAAATGTATAGATACCAAATGATTCACTGAGTAACCATTAAGATCCGTTGGATTAAATCATAGACATTCATCTGAACGAGAAGAGAGGCAAATGAAAAGTTTGATAGTAATAGCATTATGAATGGCAGTTGTTGTGAATGAAATGTTTAAATAGATGAAACGCCTATTTTGTGTTGTGAAAAGGATACTTTGTGGTTTAGTGTTTTGTACTAATGCAATTGAAAACACGCTGATGTTTGGAAAAGGTGCATTTTGATGATTGGTTGTGAGATTAGTAATAAGTTTGAAAATGTACAACTTGTGAAATACGAAATAAAATAAAAAATTTAATACATTTTAAAAAGCCGTAAAAGCACAAAAGGTACATTATTAGGGGCCATTCATGTCGTCACCTTTGTTTATGTAGTGCTTTATACAGTAATGACTGTACAAAATAACAGAATCAATTATGCAAACTATGTCACATATGAGACAAATTCATATTCTGCTGTAAAACAACTCTAAAAAGACAAGTGTCATTGTTCAGCTCCAGTCAGTTCAGTGGTATTATGAAACCAATTCAATTCATCTAAAAAGCTCTACAAAAGACAATAGTGTTATTCAGTTCTATTTTGTCAGTTTGAGTTAGTTCAATGTTGAATCAATTCAGTTCAATAACAATACTGAAGTTTAGTCACTTATGAAACTAATTTGATTCAAGATTTGCTAAGAAATAAATCTACAGAAGACAATTTCATCAGCAAGTTCACACAGAAGCAGTGCAATGGAATTAAGGCAAAAATGCATTTTGTTAATTGCTTCTCAAACTAGTCATAAAGCACATTTACATGCACAATTTGATATCAGTGAGACTAAAGTAATAATTTGCCTTCTTAAACTGTCATACAAATTAATTAATCCAGTTGATTTTTTTTTTAAGTCAATTATATTTATTTTTAGGACATTGCATGGCAATGGATAAAAACAAAACGGTTCTTTCAGGAAACAACAGTGAGACATGTAACAAAGTCAGAAAGACTAGAAGACAACAGCAGAATCTAAATACAGTCAATAGTATCACAAGGCACACATAATCGACAATTTCAAAGTCAAACTAACCAACCTAGATAATGCAATCTGTATCTCTGCTTAATGATATACAGAGAGAAGACATGCAACATGCCATGTATAGTTGGATAGACAGATGAAGACTGAAGCTCAAGTACACAAAAACTAGTACTTTCAAACATACTTACAATCTTAAGGTCTTTTTGTTTGATGCTAACAAAACATGTCAGCACAGCAGGGAATGACACTACCACCCTTCTGTAAGCGGACAGGAAAATCTGACTTAATACTGCAAACTAGGTGACAGAAGCCCTTGATCTAAGAGGGCCGTGCACCTGGAGTGGGTGAGGGGCTTAATGGGCTAAAGTTTGCTTAGTACCGTTTATTTGTCATATTCTCCTGTGACTCCTGTGAAGGCAGCTTGTTTTATGCTTCAAAGGTGTGGTGCAGAAGGGTTTTTTACCTGCAGTGAGGAAGATTGGGAGTATAAATCAGCCATTGTGTGTGTGTGTGTGTGTGTCTGGTGACGTGTCAAAGGCCTCAGGTTCAGTTACAGAGAGCAGCTGTGTTTGCAATGGGGAAAGTGCACATGCCTTCTGAGAGCCCAGCTGAAAACCAATTTCAGTGCTGCTTTACTGTGAAACCACATGAGACTATGTACCTAAGACCTCTTACAGAGTATTTTACCAGGTCTGGTGGGTGGTCTGCTATCGATCCTGTATCGAAGGCATGCAAAGAGGCTTTACATTTTCAGTTTTTCAATGCATGCACAAGTCATATTGGCTGTAAAAGTTTGCATGGTAAATTTAATCCTTCACCGAATCTAATGTAACCGCCATGAGGTTACACTGCCACCATTTTCATGCTCTCTTGCCGCACAACACACCCATGGCTGACATTTTGAGATGAGACTTAAGGGGATGCATGTAGAAATACAAATATATGCAAGGAGCTCCAGTGGCTCTTCCCTGTTAGGATGTCAACCCTGTGGTTTGCTCATAAATCACATGTTCCCAGAGTTCGATGAACTAAAATGCTGCTTTCCTCCAGAGCCGTGAGCCAGCATCAACAGCCAGAGCATTCAGACAGAAGTGAAGTCATGAATGCAGGAAGGGAAAGTAGGTTTGTGTGATAGTTGTAATGTCTGAGTTGAGCCATTAGGAGCTGAACAGCAACAGATGTGACTGTGAAGGCCTGATCTTCTGCCCTCTCATGAAATCTCTCTCTTCTTCACCGTTTATTTCTCATTTCCTTCAAATAAACACATGGTCTTAGGAATTGTAACATTTTTGAGCAAAAATTATGAGGCAAAACAAAGGGATAGAAAAGGATCCTTAAGAAAGGGATAGTTCACTCAAAAATGAAAATTTGATGTTTATCTGCTTACCCCCAGGGCATCCAAGATGTAGGTGACTTTGTTTCTTCAGTAGAACACAAACGAAGATTTTTAACTCAAACCGTTGCAGTCTGTCAGTCATATAATGGAAGTGAATGGGAATCATGGCTTTGAGAGTCAAAAAAACATACACAAACAAAACCAAATGAAACCCTGCGGCTCTTGATGATACATTGATGTGAAAAGACCCCAATGGTCCGTTTGAGAGATAGGTGGCGGTAATGCACTTATAGGTCTGCGATAAGTTTCTTGTACAGACCGATCGTTTCGTGTCTTTACACATCAATGTATCGTCACGAGCCGCAGGGTTTAATTTGGTTTTGTTTGTGTATGTTTTTTTGACTCTCAAAGCCGTGATTCCCATTCACCTCCATTATAAGACTGACAGACTGCAACGGTTTGAGTTAAAAATCTTCGTTTGTGTTCTACTGAAGAAACAAAGTCACCTACATATTGGATGCCCTGGGGGTAAGCAGATAAACATCAAATTTTCATTTTTGGGTGAACTATCCCTTTAACTATTTTTAGGTCACTAATCACATAAGTAAATTTGACACATTTTTTTACAAGCAGTCAGAAGATCTTCCATTAAAGCAAAATATGCACTTTGGATTTTTTTTTTTATTTATAACGAGAACGTTCAAAAGACCAACATTTATTTAAAATAGAAATATTTTGCAACATCATAACTTTACGGTCTTTCATTTCTTACCCCAAACTTTTGAACAGTAGTCTGTTTTATTTAAACAGACGCATTAGGCCTATGCATCATGGAGTTTTCTAGCCATCTAGATGTGCCAAATGTGTCTTTTTTAGGAGCAGTGTCCTTCATTTCCAGGGAGATGTGATAACTGTGAATGTTGAGCCTTACTGGTATGCAAGGTATGTCCTGCAGCACTGTTACCCAGACTCACTCTATCCTGCTTCATTTATCTGGTCTTACTCACCTAATGAGTCTGTGTCTCTGACTGACTGACTGTTTGTGTTCAGTGATGGAATGTAGAATCGCTCTGTTTGCGAGCATATAGAGGCTTGACTAACGCAATATGCTTCTTTATGTTTATTATCAAACACTGACTGTGATGCACAGTGCCCATGTTAACCTTCACACTTATGCTTTTCTGTGAACCTCGGAGACAATAACAATGGCTGCAGCACATGTTCTGCACTGCTGATGAATCATTTGTGATGCAAATGTTTTTGTAAAGTGGGGCCTACTGGCCTTGTCCAGATTCTGGGAAAATATTGTATATGTGTGTTTTTACATGGGTGGCATAGTGTGTTTATACATAAACAATCATGTGGGTATTTATGAGTTTTTTGTCTTTATGCTTGAGGGTCTGATCTTTGTCAGTAGCATTACTCATTCACAGGACCAAATTTCACCCTTTTTATGCCAGTATTGTTTCATCACCATATGCAGAACCCAGTCAAGAAGAAGACATAATACTAGTATGTACTATATGTCCTGCACACATTATTTTCTATGTAACACTATGGATCACACAGGTACTACTATCAAAGTGTTCAGATTTCTTTAATTTAGACAGTTTGTTCTGGATTTCAAAAATGAACAAGATTGACCAAAGACTAGATTTTACATCGGTGTATAGACAGTCTTGATAAAAACTTCCATCTTCTGGACATAAATATTTGCAGTTACCAGTGATAATAGTTTTGTTACTAAATCGAATAAAATAACAATCAATTCATCAATTGAAATAATATATTTTACAACAATTTAACAGTATTCTTGGGAACAAATAATGTTTTTTTGGTGATTTATATTGTTTATGAAAGTAAATATGTAAGAAATGTGCGCCACGGACACCGCGCTCTGTCCTATAGCACCATCTACTGGATGAAGGTTCATGGTGCATGTTCACGGACACCCGGTGTCATTGTGCTGGTATTAGTGGTTTGTGAAAGGGTTCATTTAAACAAATAAATACAAAAATAACACACAAGACAATAAGAGTAGTAAATATTATACATTTCCTGTATTACAGATTTTTTAAATATGTTAGCTAGAGTTTAAGAACGTTATGACAGATTTTTCGTTTTGGGTGAACTTATCCTTTAAATCAGCAGAGGAAGAAGAGAGTCCTAAGTGACTCATATAATTGGAGTGTGTGAGGAGGGAGAATCTGGGTTTGGGTGTATTGGTTGGTGTGTCTTTGTGGTTTATACCACCTCAGTATGGTGTAGACTCAAGCAGGAAGTTAGGTCATGGAATTACATGTCACTGTATGAAATTATGCTTCTCTCCTCCAGAATGCAAAATTGAGCAGGTCAAAGGCACAATGGCTACATGTGACCTGGAGACTGAGACCAGCTCTCCACATAAGTTTGTTTGTGCAGTAGTGTGTCATAGCTGTGTTGTTCACAAACAAGCAGATGGTAGTATTTAAGTCATAGTTGATTTGTTTTCTATGAAACAGTGCAACTAGTATTTTTCTACATCATGTCCACTTTTAGGAAAGAGTTGCTACCTCACTACATGCACGTGCTAAAGCCCAGCCCTGTAAACTGTTAATCTGAAAGTAATTTAGTAGGGCAGGTTAAATGTGATGCACATTCTGTTTATGATGAAATGATCTAATGGAGTGATCTAATAATCTCTTCACTAGTTTATTTAACAAAGTATAGCATATATGCCTAAATCAATATTGTAAATTATATTTACTCCAACATTAAGACAGACAAATGTCCAAAGTTCTTGGACGAACTTTTCTTTGGCAGCTTTCATGATGTGTCCTCAGTCTTCCAGGGTGTGTAGGCACATCATAGACTCACAGACTAGAAACTGACAGTATGAAACCACAGAGTGAGCTGGACATTGTTACAGGTTAGTGTATGGCATGAAATCATGAGAGGGAGGGATGGAAATAAACGTTTAAATTCATGTAGTAGGCAGTAATGTTTAACAGAGTGGGTGACTCAGCACCTCTTAAATTTAAGAAAGATCGGATGTTATTTTGGTGAAATCTGCTAGCAATTATTTTTGACTGTCTATGTTGCAAAAATAAGTTTCAGATTAAAAATGAATTAATACAGTTATACAATTTAAACAAGAGTCCAAGGCGGTCAGTTTCTGCGAAGATTGATTCGTTTTTATGTTTGGGGTTCCATAGACCTTAATTATGTATTTTTAAATGTAACATCTTATTTTAAAAATGCTTCATAATATGTTCTTTGTCATTTTTGAACGGAGCTCCATTGTAATTTTTTAAGAAGAAGAATATACAAACACCTTTTAGAGATCATTGATCAGTTTGTAGCTTATGTAATATTTTCCATCCAATCAAAATATCAAAGAAAAGACTTCATCTTTTCATCAGACTAGATATTCACATACATTCAAGAGGAAGGCTCATACAGCTTTGGAAGTATTTCTTGATTTAAAAAAAAATCAGTTTTCTTGTTTTATTAAAGTTAACTTGTTTTAACTTAATAAATATATTTGAGAAGTGACAATGTTTCAATTAAAAATTGGCAAGAGTAGTTAGTAGGCTAATTTCATCACCACAGGCTAGGCCTACTTCACGTTCATGTGTCACCACACACGTGTTTTCAATTAAGTATTCAGTAGGAAAAAATAACTCGGATTGTAAATTTTAAGGGATAATTCATCCAAAAAGGAACACTCTGTCATCATTTAGCCTACTCACCCTTACGTCGTTCCAAACCTGTACGATTTTGTTTCTTCTGTGGAATAGCCTAGCCTATATATTGATAAATGTTTCAAACGTTTTTGTCCTTACAGTAAAAGTCAGAAAAAAACGGTTTGGTTACATTCTTCAAAATATCATCTGTTATATTCCACAGAAAAAAAAGAAATTCATAGGATTAACGAAATGAGTGTGAATATAAATGACAACAGAGTTATCATTTTGGGTGAACTATGCCTTTAAGCAAAACTAAATTTGATCATTTAGACTCAAATCAACATTTCATGTCCATTAATTTAATCATTTGGTAAGTAGTAGCAGCATAATAAGCTTACTCTATAGCAGTGTATACGGCACTGGGGTCTTCCCGATCCAGCCCCTTGCACAATCGTCATCATTTACTGAAATCACACGTCAGACCACGAGTAGTCGGCAGGAAAACCATTTAAACTTGTCTTGCGCAGGATGTGCACAGTTCATTGCATGACAGCTGCGCTAACATCTGTATGATCCACTGCGGAATGAGAGAAATGCGCGTGTTAACTGTCGTACTCGCCGTTGTATTTGTCCTGAAGGAGGCTGAAGCTTGGGGTTACAAGAATGGAATACTGCACAACTCGATCTGGCTGGGTAATTATTTCATTTGATTTTACTGATGTGTTTATCCAAACTACTTAAGTGATACATTACCCATTTCATGACTAGAATATTTTAAATGGACTAATTTACGTTTTTGTTGTTGTTGTTCCTTTTGGATTTTTTCCCTCATAGTCTGTATAATGGATGTAAAAAACACAGTCTTTAATTTACTGTTCAACAGGGCTTACATATATTGCATTGTCATAATTGAATATGTGTGTTGTGTGCATTTCGCTTTGGACCCACGGACAAGAGAGGCAAATTTATAGCTCTGTAAAGTCTGACAGTGCAGCCAGTCTGAAGGGACCTTGTAAACACAGGGAAATTACTTAATTCCAGCATGCTCCAAGAAACCCACGGACATTTCTCTGTAGATTTGGCTTGTTTGATAATAACAAGACCCATGAAAGATCAATGTGCTTTAGATATATAAGAGTTTAACCATTTCCCACTGTAAAAACCAATGTTTACCAATGTTTTAGCTGTAGCCTACTGTGGTTTGGTTTAAAACTTTTAAATAAACGAATTAGTGTGTGAATTATAGGGCAAGATAATATGGATTGAACACCACAAAGAAAGTCAAAACAATGTGTCTAAGTATATTTCGTTTTCAGCAGAGTTCAAACATTTCAGTAATGATGTTAGTTGGTAAGAGCATGTTGAAATACATTTTCACCTGATTATACTCTAAAGTATATATTTGCCAGATGAGATAACCATATATTTCTATACATTCAGGCAGTGTATGGCAACAAAGCAAAACAAGTAGGCTATTCGAATTTCATTTAACTTTATTATAAATTTATACACAACAAATGTAGTTTATCTAAAATAAACTAACTTTTTTTTTAGGTAATTGACTTTTCGAAAATGATCCTTTTATTTAGGCCCTCATATAGCAAAACTTATTGAAACCCCCCTGAAAGTCACTGTATATTTCCCATACTGTAAGCAACTTTATTTATTTACTTATGGTAGCATAGTGGCTTGACCACCACTACACATCTGAAAACACTTAAATAATCTATAGTGTTTAACTACATTTATGCTTCAAATGAGGCTCCCATTTAGAGCCTTTCTCAGAGACATGTTTGGAGCTCACTAATGGTTGCAGTCTTCTGATGTTTGAAGCCAACACAGTAAAAACATTGGCTTATAACTCATTTGAGACAGGATCCAACTTCTTCAAGGTTATGCATGCGTGCTTGAAAACAACTGCAAAGCAGCATGATGTTCTGTGAGCAGCAGACAGAGCTCAAAACAGGCTAAATCTGCTTCAGTGATCTTACCAACAGCAACTGGGTGTACATTGTATTTGTCCCTTATGTATTCAGGATGTCCCGCCACAGTAAAACATCTACGTTGTGTAAAACCTTCTAAAATAAATTTCCTGTTTCCCAGGTCTGACGTAATTTGAGTAGACAGGTAGAATCATTGTTCTGAGACATTGAACAGACCCAGATAACCCCACATGAGTCCACGAAGCTGATAGTGTTGCCAAATGAGACACATGTTCTCTCTCCTTACAGAGCAAGCAGCCGGAGTTTACCACCGCGAATCTCGCAAAGGAAGATATCAGCTGACGTACAGGGAAGCCAAGGCTGTGTGCAAATTTGAGGGGGGTACTCTTGCTACATATGATCAACTGGAGGCTGCTCGCCAAATTGGTTTGTATCACACTTACAAATCTCACTTAGATCAGATGCCAAAAGAAATAGTAATGGAAATAGTAGTGGGTCTGGCCTAAAGCATAAGTGCCGAAAGCCGAACTTGGATCATACTGAATAGCCTTTATTATAACAATAAACAATCAGCAAGCAGAATGATAATCAACATTCTCACAGATATATTAAATATTTGCACACATCATATAAACAAAGTTAAAAACCATCCCCAGTGCCACCCAGTGTTATGTTTGAACTGTAAAAGCCATTGTCATGTGTTGCCTGAGCAGGAACACCTGTTTCTTGTAAAATTACTCTTTAGTAAGAGTAAATTTGTTCCAGACATGAGCTCTGATGTATTTTGTGGTTACTTCAGGCTTGTGGCACTCTATGTTGGAGGTCTGCTTGGCTTTCTTTTTATCATCTCTGTTTGCAGCCTTCAAATGGTGCCCATGGCTCCTCAGAGAACACGAGCCCTTTATTCATTACCCCTTAAAAAAGACGAATTTCCTTTTTGTTTTTTTTCATGGAGAACACTTTTTATTCAGTACAAACAAAACCTGGTTGTGAAATACTGCAGATATATTCAAATATGAACACAGAAGAAAAAAATAAATGAACTACTTTTCATAATTAATTAACCTACATAATTTGTATCACTTATATTTGTATAATTAGACTGTATTATTTTTAAACATTAAAACAGTGTTTAATCATTTGTAATTAATTAGCATTTTAGATCAATTCATATTTATGTCAAATGTTGCTTCATAATAACAGATGTTGCACAGTATCACAGCATTTGTCATTCTCCCAAAGGGTTCCATGTGTGTGCAGCTGGATGGTTTGACAAAGGACATGTGGGCTATCCGATTGTTAAAGCTGGCGCCAACTGTGGTTTCGGAAAGGTTGGAATAATTGATTATGGATATCGGCTCAACAAAAGTGAGAAGTGGGATGTCTACTGCTACAACCCTGGGGGTGAGTTTGAGCAATGGCAGTTAGGCAATCTTGGGTGGATTTTAGTCATCCGCTGAGAGATTTGGACAAAGTAGTTACACAAATCTTAGGTTTGTAAAATCTTCTTTGAAAGCTCTTCAGAGTGAGTTGACTGTAGTAAAGTATAAATCTCCATAGGTTAAAGACAATTACTTTATATCATAATTCAGGCACTCATTGGCCTGACAAAGACTTTGTGGTCTGGACAAAGAGGTCATCCGCTGAGAGATTTGGACAAAGTAGTTACACAAATCTTAGGTTGTAAAATTTTCTTTGAAAGCTCTTCAGAGTGAGTTGACTGTAGTAAAGTATAAATCTCCATAGGTTAAAGACAATTACTTTATATCATAATTCAGGCACTCATTGGCCTGACAAAGACTTTGTGGTCTGGACAAAGACAACCATGACTAAATGTTGGAGAAAAAAGTGTTGGATGTTTTATAACACACAATGACAGATAGAAATAGAGGAGAGTGAACCTCAGCACAGGACATTATTCATATGAGTTAAATGTAGGAAAATGTCTTAGATGTGGAGCGATCACAACAAACAGAAAGAGAACAAATACATTATACATTTCTTGGAAAATGCCTGCTTGTTTTCTCTGGCTCTTTTCTCTTGTATGAATATGGAAGATTCTAATGAAAAATGTTTCACACTGTGAATAATCTAAATGAAGCCCCATGAATTTTACACGGTGTGGTAATGCATTACCAGAGACCCAGCTGAGTTTGTGACTGACGCTTTTCCCCTGATTTGTAATGAGCTGGTGAAAGAAATTCTCCCTACGGAGAACTTTACTCAACAGGGTTCTCAAAAAGAAGTCAGGGAGGAAATAGTGAACTCAGACTTTCAGGTTGAGATGTCCTGTGAGAGATGTTGATGTGGACATTTTTGTGTCTTACCTTCAATAGATATTTATTAATAGGTCAACACACATAGAAAACTTTGAATATTAGTTTCACAAAGCATTGCCTCAAAGTTTAATTCTGATATTGCAATAGATAGATGTTCAGTGCAATACAGTGCAAAGAGGGTGGGTTGTCCTATTTAATAAAAAATTATTTATAGTATAAATTAGCTTTCTATATAGTATCCAGTAACTACCTCATTGAGGGCAGGGCACCAGATGTGTGTGTCACTGAGCACCCACTCAAACCACAGACAGAGTTTGGATTTGTCATTGTCTGCATAAGCATAGTGCTCATATTCCTTTGACTCCTTTTTATACTTCTGATACTTATTTCCACATGGAGAGATGAAGAGATGAAACGTGATTCAAACTAATGAAACTGTTTGGTGTAGTAGGACTGACCCCTTGAGTTTATTGACTTTTATGCATGCATTAATTTGTACAACTTTGGTGCTGTCTTTCCAGCAAAGGAGTGTGGAGGCGTGCACACAGATCAGGAGAAGGTTTTCGATTCTCCTGGTTATCCAGAAGATTACCAGGATGAGCAGATTTGCTACTGGCACATTCGTGTGCGTTACGGCCAACGAATCCGCCTGCACTTCCTAGACTTTGACATTGAGGAAGACACAGCTTGCCTCAGTGATTACCTGGAGATCTATGACAGCTATGATGATGTTTCGGGCTTTGTTGGAAGGTAAGTAACAGACGATTTGTTTTATTCACCGTTGAACTTTACGTTCCATTTTATATTGCTGCTGGGAGTTTAGAGTTCTGACATTGTTTAAATTTGCTTCAAAATAATAAAACAAATCTGCCTACTCTGGATAGATACTGTGGGGATGAACTTCCAGAGGACTTCATAAGTACAGGTATGTTGTAGCATTAATTTAAATTTCAAAAGTTTGTTTTTCTTGGATAATACGTCAATTTGAATGTATCTCTTAAATAAATTTCAGAAGATATCTCTCTATGTTTCTACATTATCTCTTGCACAGGAAATGTCATGACTCTGAAGTTCCTTTCTGATTCCTCGGTGACGGGTGGAGGTTTTCAGCTGCAGTACATCGCTGTGAACTCCTCTCAGCTCTTTGACAATCACACTGATGCCTTGTCTTGACCAATGTTTAAAGCACCAAACCCACTTTTTTAATACACCCAAACCCACAACTGTAATTTTTTAATATTTTTATTTCTTTACCAAGGGTGCAATATTAAAGCTATTAATAATCAAAAATTTAAGTGTATAGGCCTGTGAACATTTAAAAAATAAACTCTCATAAAACAAAGTGCATTTAATGTATTACAGTGTTTTATTGTAACCACAAGAAATAAGCTGAAATCTGATTTAATAGAGCTGAACCCATGGGATGTAAAAGTGCTTGAAATTATAGAAACACAACTATACTTCGTCCTAAAAAAAGTTGTTACTGTGTCTATTCTTCAAAACTCAGAGCTCATGTGAAACATAACATGATATTAATACTAACCAAAAAAAAAAAAACAATCAGCAATTGTTAATGCAAAGTTTTTGACTGCAGTGAAAAAAGACAAATGATTCTGAATCAAAGAGATTTTAACAGTGCATGTACAATTATTCAGAGTAAGAAATGTTCTGCTTGTTACAGCTATGCATTTCTGTCAGGTTTAGCCTTTTAATTATTAAGGCTCTGTGGCCCCCTAGTGGGTCCCGGGTCTTAGTTGAGAACTGCTATGATATAGGCCCTTAAATGTACATTCTTTGTACATTAACTCTAAACTTTGTTTGTTTGTTTTTACAGCAAAGCTTTTTTTTTTCAATATTTATTCTTTGAATATACAGTGGTGGCCAAAATGATTAGAACACTAGTATTTTCATCAGCTAAAAAATGGTTTTAAGTCAGTTATTTCTATCTTTTGCTGTAGTGTGTCAGTAGGAAATATCAGTTTACATTTCCAAACATTCATTTAGCCACTAATTGTAATAATCCAGTGAGATTTTTGTTTGCACAAGGAGTCTGACAACAGCCAGTGCTCCACACAGAGATCTGATCTTCATCATCAGTCTGTCTGGAATGACATGAAGAAACAGAACAAACTGAGACAGACTAAAAATCCAGATAGCTTTGCAGGTAGGTTTCTTGAAGCATCTTGGAGACATTGCCACATTTCTTCTGGATTTATTCTGTCTCAGTTTGTTCTGTTTCTTCATGAAGAGATCAGATCTCTGTGTGGAGCACCGTTTTTTATCTGGTGAAAATACTATGTTCTTTTAATTTTGGCCTCCACTGTGTTTGTAAATGTTAATCAATAAAAATACAATTGTTTATTGTTTGTACGTTTGTTCAAAGTCCATTAACAAATGTTAACAGATATAACTTTGATTTTACTTTGTTTTGTTATTTCATGCTAACTAATGTGTTTAACAAACGATACATTATTGTGAAATTTCACAAAAAACAAACAAATGACCAAGGTATCCTAATTATTTGTTCGAATTTTTATTCAAGTTTTGGCAAAGTATCTTAATTCATGCAATAAATAATTTATGAGAGGGCGGAGTTGACGTGGGGTTGAAGGTGACGGTTTCAACGCGTCATGTTTGGCGCCAGCATTTTCGCGGGGAGTGAGGAGTGAGGAGTGGACAGACGCAGCGTAGCCGTGATCATTTACAAACATTGTTGTATAAACTCTCCCGATTCTTCTGATATAGCTCGTGTGTCGATGATCTCGCCTTCAGTGGTCGATAGCGCGAGGTGAGACATCTTGAGTTGTGTCTGTTGGTGCGTGTGCTCAGGGGGTTGGGTGGGTAACTAGCTCGCTAACTCTGCAGTCTTTGTAGGGAAAGTTCCTGTTGGATTAGATTGATTTCAGCAAAAGCATATACGACGGTTTAAAGGTTTCAATAAACGCCACGTTTTGATCTCTCTGCCTACAAGTTGTACGCTCAACGCACTTGATTACACAATAGCTTTAAGATACAGACGACATTAAGGTATAATATTTGCATCTCGGACAGCTCAGCATATTAGGGCACACCTACCACCACCAAAAAAAAAAAAAAAAGTATTTAACAGCAAATGCATTATGATATTTGGCAGAGAGTTTGATAATAATAGATGGCGCATTGTTATTAGCCTCTCGTGCACCTGGCTAGCTAACGTTAAACATCACATGTAAGATGCGTGTGAGGTTTTATTCTTCCCAAATGTGTCATTAAGGTGAAATAGACGACTGAATTTACGTCTCTTGGTCTTGATTTGAAGACATTATTGCCATTTGTTCACCAGAGATCTCATGTGCATCGAGAGAACACGATGTCCTGCATGCATGGACTCCTGGTCACACTACCAGTATAACATTAAAAGAGTTAAAACATTCATTTTTCACACATTCCCATTCATGCATAGCATTTCATAATCGACTTAATTGCAGACTATTAAACAAAACTCAGCCAGGGCTATGTTTAAGGGTGAAAGGTGGGAGTCATTCTAGGGTGCCACAGGTCCAAGGGGCAGAAGAGTTTTGAAATTTATTTTTAAAAGGTTATTTAAAGGCCTTCTCCAATTAAACAACTGAACCAGAACTCCTTAAAAGAAAGAGTTTTCACATTTTATTGCATTATATTCTGTCTTGTGGTAGTCAAAGCTGTATGCATCAGTTAAATGTGCTTTCCTGTCTTTCAGGCTGTGAGGATGATGGCAGCAGTGCCTCTATCTAGTGCCAGCCTCCTTCCACTTCTGAAGTGTCTGGAAGATGAAGCAGCCGGGCTGTCAGAGAAGACAGATGCCTACATCACCATCGCGAAGTAAGGGTTAACCTACAGTTCTAGTGTCTGTCTTTTAGTAGGTTTTAGTCAAACGCATGGATGTCTCCATGATATGAGCTCTTTTAGTGTTGTAGCGATACAGTTTTGTCAATGGTTACTCCGTCCACACTTTATGTGAAATTGGCATTCAGTAGCTATTTTATGTTTAAAGTGATAGTTCATCCCAAAATGAAAATTGTCGTCTTTTACTAAACTTCATGTTGTTCCAAACCCGTAATTTTTTTGTTCAGTATAATTAAGATATTTTTATTTTCTGTTCCTCCATTGAAAGTTTGTTCCACCAAAATGTTTACGCTCCACAAAGTTCCTAAAGAGGTCATAAAAGAAATTCATATGAATTGATTGGTTTCATCAAAGTATCAGACACAATAGCTTTAAATGATGAACAGATTTAATTTAGTCACATGTATGTATTGATCAGTGGACATATATAGAGTGCATTGAATATGTTAAACGGAAGCTCATATATTCTTGCTCGATGCTTTAGAACCAACCTCATTGGTTCTTGTGTGTCTAGTGAGCATGCAATTGGTGGTAACGTTTTAAGATATTTATAGATTAATCATGGGACTTTTGTTGTTCTTTTTCTTTCTCCCAGCCGCCTGAATGGAGAGGAAGGGCGTCAGTTTCTGCCTGTAGTTGTAAAACATTTTGCACGTCTTGGTAAAGTCCTTTTGGTAAGTTTTTGTTCTTTATGAATTACAAGATCCATTCATTGGAACTTTTTGAATGTAACTAAATATGTGACTCTATATATGTGTGTGTGTGTATATGTATGTGTGTATATGTATATGTGTATATATATATATAGGGGCATTCACTATAAACATCATTTATTTTCTACCTTAGGCATACACGACTTTCTGGCGAAAGTGAATCTAGCAGCCTGTGTGAAATGCGCTAGGCTGTACTACTGTCCTCTCATTCTGCACCAGTACAAATACGTGCACGCTAGGCTTGCCGCGATAGACGATGTTAAGCCTCAACACCGGTTACGTCACTTGCTCACCGCGTCACTGACCCCCACCATCGTTTTGATTTTTTATAGTAATAAAAATAATTTAGTTCAGTAAAAGAACAGACTCTACAATTAAAAACTGAACTATCGCGGATGATTTAGAAAAGCCTGTTGACTTTTGCCATTTATCAGGTGATTTTGGAAGTTTTTTTAAACATTCGTTTCTTATTTAATTGGTTCCACATTGTTTGCTGATTTTTACTTTATTTAAACTTTCATTTATTTATTTTATTTGACATTCGTTTTGTTAATAAACGTTCTACGTTTCTTATTTATTTGGTTATATATTGTACGTTTACTTATTTCCAATTTTGTATACCTATTAAACTTTATGTAAGTTATTTGTTATTTTATATTAGGCATAGCTTGTCCTATAGCATGGTGTATTTTTATTTGTTTTGTTAATAAAAGTTATATGTTTTTTATATATACGCTAAAGTGAGTTTGACGTTGTATTATATATATATATATATATATATATATACACATTTATTTTTTTTTTAATTGTTATGAATAGGCAAAAGTTATTCTTTCTGAAAGCTATGTCTCTGCTGTGTCATCAGCCCTGCAGATTAATTATTTTTTCTTTCAGGTTCATATCTCCAGTGAGAATGAAGAGCTGTGTCAAGCCGCATTGCAAGCTTTGGGATTATGTGTCTTCCACTCACACATTGTTTCAGTCTTACCAGGTAGAGGAAAAAGTTGAATTCTTTAGTATAATATACTTATTACTTTTCATGAGAAGTAGCATCCATAATATTTTTATCTTTTTTTGCTGCAGCAAATATTTCAGAAGATATACTGTCTACGCTCTGTAATGTTGTGGTAAAATCAAAAGAGAAATTTACGTGCACTCGAGCGTTATGGGTGATTTCAAAACAGAATTTCCCGCCAGAGGTGGCATCCAAAAAGGTTTGTTTACCATGCATGTTGTGCTTGAAATAAACCCTATTTTTATCATCCTTTACCCCTCCGGTTTCCTTTTTTTTTTGTGTGGTTAAAAATTTTGCTTTTTACATTTCAGACCCCAGAGATTCTGAAGAGTCTAGAGGCCATGCAGACCAGAGAGGTTCAGTCGATCCTCATTGAACATGAATCACTGAATGTCATAATAAGGTTTGTTGAAATTTCCCATACTTTTCTCTTTCTTGGTAGTACAGTCTTGCAGTGCTCTTCATATGGAGGTCCTCCGTAAATAAGGTTTATTTAAAGGCAGAGTAAGTGATTTCTGGTAGCCAATGTTGATATTTGAAATCACCAAAACAAACACGCCCCAGTTTTTTTTTGTGAATGTCAGGTTGCTGGAGCAGGCCCCGTCTCAGATGGCTGCTGGAGCCGTGTGCTGGGCCAAGCTGGTTATTCCTCTGGTGGTTCACTCGGCCAATAAAGTGCGCTTGCGTGCAGCAGCAGCCCTGGAGTTGGGCATGCCTCTTCTTCTGGAGAAACAGCAGGAGGTGGCAACCATTGTAGAGCCAATGATGTCTTCTGTAAGTGTATACGTTAGTTTATTTTGTTGTGCATCTATGCATATATGGAAGAGGTGTTAGTGAGGCCAGCAGGGGGTGCTCACCCTGCAGTCTGTGTGGGTCCAAGTATAGTGATGGGGACACTATACTGTAAAAATCGTTTTTTTTTACAAGTATAGACGTTAAAAAGACGTTAAACCGAGGTCCTGACTCTATGTGGTCATTAAAAATCCCAGGATGTCCTTCAAAAAAGAGTAGGGGTATAACCTCGGCATCCTGGACAAATTTGCCCATTGGCCTCTGACCATCATGGCCTCCTAATCATCCCCATACACTGATTGGCTTCATCAATCTGACTCCTCCACCAATAAGCTGGTGTGTGGGGGGTGT